TGTGGTGTTATGCAGAAAATTCCTGTACTCCTTCCTGAGAATCTAGTTCTGTAGCTTCCATGTGGCTGTACTTTCATGGTCTTATCATGACTCTTGAGCTCCTTCAGGGATTCTTTTAAATGTTGGCATAACACTTTGTTTCATTGTTGACTCACTCTGCTGATCTCTGTTTTCTTTGAGTGACCTCATTTAATCTCCTAGTATAAAATATCATGAACATGGTAAAGTTTAGACAAATGTGCTTGAATGGTGGTGCTGAGGGAAGGGTATATCATGTCACTTCACATCCTTAAATGATAAAGGCTTTGAGAGTTTAAAATAATGAAATAAAAAAAGGAGTGTTCAAGAACAATCAAGAAACATATATCATGATTAAAAAAGGAGTGTTCAAAAGAACAATTAAATAACGTATATCATTTGTACATATATCCTGTGCAAATAATAGTTTCCAAATCTATTTTTTCCAATATTGACTTTAAATTCACACTTTTAACAATATTGAAAATATTGAACTGCCTGCTAAACATTTTCACTTATGTATCTTGTGGCTAGCTGAATTTCAACCTGCTCTTGCAGCCTTACTATTAATTCTAAGTTCCTCAGCCTGAGATACCACTATTCAGCCAGAAAGAGCCTTATCATCATTGCCATCTAGAACTCTCTGGTTCTCAAGTTATTCTGGTAGAAGCAAAATGTGAGGTTAAGAGGCAAAAATACAGATTAAAACAGTAGCAGAGCTGTCAGTACTGAATTCATTAACATGTGATCTGAGGGACCTGCTTATCGTCAGTGAATTTTAATTGCTCTTATATGAAATGTTATTGTTAATATCTACCCCATGGGATATTTATATAAATTAAAAATGTAATTTATGTCAAAAACACTAACCTATTTTATAAAAGGTAAAATTATCTCAATTGGATTTATTCCTTAAATGCTTTTTTCTTTACTAACAGGAGTTAATAAAATGAATGAAATGAATTTTTTTAAAAATATGAGATTCAGTGCTAACTTGGCATATATATTAATACTCAGGCCATGGGTTATATATAAGTCTAAGAATCCATGGAAGGATGTGTTTGCAGCTTAGGGAATAGAACCTCTGATTTAGGGCACCACCTGACTTTCCTTTGTTGGTTGAAACTTTGCCAATATGCTCCAAGTGTGTTACAGGATCTAGAACAGATGGTTTCCTGACACAGCCAATGGTAACTTAGGGCGCTTGGGGGAGAAGACATATTTCTTGGTGAGCCAATTTCTCTTTTGCCAATAGCACTACTTTGTCATCTTCCCATGCTCCATCACCCTCTCCTCCACACACTTTCCATTCTTCTTCTTTCCCTGGTGCCTTTGATATGCTTGAGGCACCTCATATCCTTCTTTCCATCTGGTTATTGGGTATGAGGAGGATGGAATTGATTTTCTTAACAGGCTAACTAGACAAAAGTTAATTTATGATAGCATCTAAGATGCTTTTAATCATCAAAATAAGAGAAACTTTAAGGAATAATGTTTTTAAGATGGTATATTACATTATTATGGGTTAATGATTCCCTCTGGAATGCAGAAAGAACTTTTGTTTTTTAAATTTTTTTATTATTCTGTGTAAAGGTTGCTTTCAAAAGGGGATAGACAGATGTAGAAATCCTCTAACTGGTAAGTAATACATTATTTCTACTTTCTGAGTTGTTACTACATGTTAATTTAACACAGTTTTAATGCATTTTCATAGTCTTGTAATCATATAATTCACACATGAGTAAGACAGGCAAGAAAAAAGAATAACCTAAACTTTTAAAGGTCTACTATTAATGAAGGAAGTGAACTAAATGAAATACAATCATTAGGATAAAAATCATCCTTTGAACTCAACAAATACTTTGTAGGCACCAAGTAGATTAAGAATATCATTATTGTATGGGAAGAGAAGTATGTATTCCATGTGCTAAAATGTATCATAACTTCCTGCTTCCTGAGATGGCAGAGCTTACAAAATTGCCCAGATGCTTTTTCATGTAAGGCAACTGGGCAAGATAACTCCTCAATTAGCACTATGGGCACCAGAATCTTGGAAATGATTGTGCCTGATAAACAATTAAAGAAAAGATTAACAGAGTAGTGACCTTGCCAAGTTTTCTGGAAGATGCACACTTTTTAAATAACAACAGATAAAGTTGAAAACAGTGCTATATCTCACACCACAGAAATATTACTCCTTGCATGTTTCTTGAATGACAACATAAGGACATAATTTGTAATTGGTTTACATATAAGATTTACTTTGAGAAGCTAAATAACTACTCAGAATGATTGGAACAAATACAAAAATGAGATTAAATATAATACACACTATATGTAATGAATATAAGAATATAAATTTAGTTTATTATATAATACAATATATAATAGCATAATACTTTATGTAAATATAGTAAATATATGACTTATATATGTATACACACACATACTGAAAATGAAAGAAAATATTCTACAAATGTAATAGGTGATCCTGAAAATACTTTGGGTAAAAATCTTCCCTATTCTTCAATATTTTCTCCTGCCCAACTTGTTTAACATGTCACTTTATCTACCCTCACCCCTCCACAATGCTCCTGTTCTCTCTCTGGTAAGATCTGGAAAGAAGAACCATTAAATGTTAATTTCATGACAGTTATGGCAACCAGATATACAAAGTGTAGGTGATGGCATCGAATTTATGATGGCCCCTGATCCTCAGGTGGGCATCACTTGACCAGAGAGCAGGAATCATGGGACTGAATTACAGAGGGAGGAGCTGGAGGAGGGTAGATTATGTCACTCACTAATTTTTGCTTTGGAAGGGGTAAAATGGGTTTCCCACCCTAATCCACCTTTTCTTGATGGCTTCTTTCAGCTCCTGACCATTTATGATCTCCAACATCAACACCTTGTCTATTGACTGTTATGACCAGTGTAGCCACTCTACACTTGGATAATCTTTTTTGAAGGATCGAGGTAAGTACAGTAGTTACTAGAAGATATGTTATGTCTCTGGTGCTGTTTTGTCTCCAGACCTTTGTAATCCATTTTGTGTTTGTTTCAAGAATCTGAAGAAAGGTGTTACCACTATTTTCTGGGAGTGGGGAGAGAACTGTGCCTCAGTAATAAGAGGATGTGAAGAATTTCACATCTCTCCTTGCATCTCTTAAGGACTATGGGTCCATAAAAAAATGAAAACAAATTCTGAAGATGAATTATCATTTACAAGTTGAATCTTGTAAATTCAAGGTGGTTGAAATAGCTAGAAATAGAGTTCCAGAAACAAAAATGTCTATTGATTTTTGATTAAATTGTTCATTAAATATATGATGAAGATCAACTTCTACTAAATTAATTAAATCATACATGTTTATGATTCTTAATTAATCTTAAAAATCCATGACTAATTGTATAAGGTAAACAAACTTTTTCTAGCAATTTATACTCTAATAGGATTGATAATAAATAAACTAAAAGCTATACTCAAAGGAGTGGCTAAAATCATGGACTATTGGAGGTTCAAAAGTCTTTCACATTTTCATGTCCCCAAGACCTAACACTTTTCAAGTACAATAATTTCATGATGGAAACATCTTTCAAAAGAATACAAGAAAAGATTAGCTTCTTATGATGATTAACACAGCACAAGAGTAATAATCAACTCAGATCCTTTATAGTTTAAGATCCTTTCCGAAGACCATAGAGTCAAAAGTAAAAACTTTTGATTTTGGACATTTCAAGTCTATTGAGAAGGAAAAATAAAATTACCAAGAGACAGGAATAACAACACACTTTTCCTTTTCTGGATTTCTACTCTATTCCAAGAAAATGGAGTATTCAGATTCAATAATAAAAACTCTACTGGGGGTATTACAATCATAATCTGGTCCTATACCAGCTGCCAAGTGATGTCCTTCCAAACCACACCAGTTTGAAACTTCATATGTTAAAAACTTAAATGAGGAAAATATGAAAAATGGAGTAGTCATTTAAATGTAATCAAGACTCCAAATCCTCAAAGCAGGTTCCAATAAAATAGTAGAAGTAATTTGGAAATGGGGTATATTTAAGATATTACCAAGAACTTTCATATATAATAATTATTATATATCATGTAGCACATATTTTAAGGACATTTCAAGGATAGAAAAAACGTATGAAGAGATTGTGTTTCCTATTTCACTTTTCCAGTTGAAGTACCTGAGAGAGGTTGTGCAAAGAGTAGACAATATTATCTATTCACAAATAATATGTTTACATAAATGCGCATAATGATATACAAATATATAACACAAATGAAATTTTTATATAGGGGGACAATGATGTGAGCTTTATATTCATATTATGAAACCCCAAGTCAGGATTTGTATATCTGTATAACATTGGTCCTGATATTTACTGACAATGGAAAAAATGAAGGCATTATTACATTGATCCCTACCTCTTAATTTTACATTAATCCAATTGGCAAAAAATGGATCAGAATTGTGTCAGAACTAAACATCATTTGTATTTGAAGAAGGTTATAGAAAAGCATTAGATAGATAAGAATATTTGAGACTTATAATATAGTGAATTAGTCATTAAAATTGAGAAACATGCGTTTAAGTGAGTTATTAAGAAACCCTAGACAGCTGGACATGGTGGTGTATGCCTGTAATTCCGGAGACTCTGGAAGCTGAGACAGGAGGATCACAAGTTTGAAGCTAGCTTCAGCAACTTAGTTAGACCCTCAACAATTTAATGAGACCCATTCTCAAAATAAAAAAAAAATGGGAGTGTAGCTCAGTGGAAAAGCAAAAGGAAGGAAGGAGGGAAGAAATGAAGGAAGAAAGGGAAGAAGCACAGACTTTCCCTGATGAGAAAAATATATACATATATCTTCAAATATTTCATAACATCACACAGTACATCATTAATAATTCCTTTATTTTTGCAGATAAACCATCTCACACTCACCCTTTCTCCTCATTCATGGAATCATGAAGTTAAACAATAATGTGACTGAGTTCATCCTACTTGGGTTGACACAAGATCCATTTAGGAAGAAAATAGTTTTTGTCACATTTCTACTTTTCTATTTGGGGACATTGCTGGGTAACTTGCTGATTATCACCACCATCAAGACCAGTCGAGCACTTGGCAGTCCAATGTACTTCTTCCTTTTCTACTTATCCTTATCTGACACCTGCTTCTCTACTTCCATAGCTCCTAGAACACTTGTGGATGCCCTTTCAGAGAAGACCACTATTTCTTTCAGTGAGTGCATAATCCAAGTCTTTACATTCCATTTCTTTGGCTGCATGGAGATCTTAATCCTCATCCTCATGGCCATTGACCGCTATGTGGCCATCTGTAAGCCCCTGCACTACATGACCATCATGAGCCACCGGGTCTGCAGTGTGTTGGTGGCTGTGGCCTGGGTGGGGTCCTGTGTGCATTCTTCAGCTCAGATTTTTCTTGCATTGCGTTTGCCTTACTGTGGTCCTAATGTGATTGACCACTACTTCTGTGACTTGGAACCCTTGTTGAAGCTCGCCTGTGCAGACACATATGTGACCAACCTCCTCCTGGTGTCCAACAGTGGGGCCATTTGTACAGTGAGTTTTGTTGTGCTCATGTTCTCCTATGTCATCATCTTGCATTCGCTGAGAAACCACAGTGCAGAAGGGAGGAGAAAGGCCCTCTCCACCTGCATCTCCCACATCACCGTGGTCATCTTGTTCTTTGGACCTTGCATATTTATATACACAAGGCCTGCAACCACCTTCCCCATGGATAAGATGATAGCTGTGTTTTACACCATTGGAACACCTTTGCTCAACCCTCTGATTTACACACTGAGGAATGCAGAAGTGAAAAATGCCATGAGGAAGTTGTGGAGCAAGAAATTGGTTTCTGATGACGTGAGATGAATGTCATCATACTTTGTATTGACCTGGAAGAAGTAAATAGAGAATATTATCTTTTTATTGTTTGCTTAATATATTAAAACCTTAGCTCCTGTGGATTAGTTCTTTCTATAGACAGTGTACTATACAGACACTAATTAATGTCTTATGTAGAGGGGCATCTTTAGGTAGAGACAGGTATATATGACCCATTGCCTCTGATGTTGCTGATTGCAGAGGCCTTGCTAAACAACCTAGCATCACTCATGGTTTTAGTGTGTAGGTTTTAGTCTCTATGTGAGATTCTCTGATAGTAGTTACCCTTCTTTGTAACCAAAGCTTAGATCCAGAGCATGGAGTGTTTTCCCTCTTCCAAACAGTTTCCTTTGTAAGAGGTTTTGGTCTCATCAGGAACCATCATCAACTTAGTTTTCCTTCCTGACTCAGTTGAAAGTACCAAATTCAAGTGACTGTTGAGTTTTCCTATTCTAAGGGACAGTAGATATAATTTAGGTAAACTCCCTTCCCATTTTAGGACACACACTGAAAACCTAACATGTGTTTACCTAGATACTTCTAAGACCGTGATGGTACATGGAGAGAAAATTCATGCTTCTGAAAGAGTCTTTGATCTTAGGAATGCTCTGTTCTCTTTACTGGGGTTGCATTCATGCAATGATTCTTTTTGTAAAATACAATTTGTGCCCCTAATTTTCTTCCAATTTGGGGAGCATAAACTTTCTTGAATCATGATGATTATAACAGGTTGTTTGTAATATTTGGCAGTTATTATTGTAGAAGGTGACATTCCAATTAAAGTAAAAATACATTATGTTGGCTAGAAATGAAGAGTACAATGAAGATTAGTTGCTGGGCCTAGTGGCCCACAGCTATAATCCCAGCAGCTCAGGAGGCTGAGGCAGGAGGATTGTGAATTCAAAGCAGCCTCAGCAACTTAGAGAGGCTCTAAGCAATTTGGCAAGACTCTGTCTCTAAATAAAATATTTTTAAAAGGAAAGGAATGCAGCTCATTGCTTGAGTGCTCTTGGGTTTAATCCCTGTTAGAAAGAAAGAAAGAAAGAAAGAAAGAAAGAAAGAAAGAAAGAAAGAAAGAAAGAAAGAAAGAAAGAAAGAAAGAAAGAAAGAGAGAAATAGAAAGAAAAAAGAAAGAGAGAGAGAAAGAAAGAAAGAAAGAAAGAAAGAAAGAAAAAGAGAGAAAGAGAAAGAAAGAGAGAAAGAGAGAGAGAAAGAGAAAAAGAAAGAAAGAAAGAAAGAAAGAAGGAAAGAAAGAAAGAAAGAAAGAAAGAAAGAAAGAAAGAAAGAAAGAAAGAAAGAAAGAAAGAAGGAAAGAAAGAAAGAAAGAAGAAAGAAAGAAAATATTATAAGCTTAGACAAAAAATGTGAAAACCCTGGAGAACAATTTTAGGTTTTGAGACAGAAGTTGTTACATTACATTTATTGAACATTTAAGTGAGTTATTAGTACAACACAAAATAGTAGCTTTACCATACAAGAGGAAATATTTAGATAAAAACTATATTACTCCAGAAGAGATATCACCTTTTGTCATTATTTATTAACACCTCATCCTCTAAAATTATGAACTCTAATAATATTTGAATTTATTCCATTTGTCTATTTCCATATAGAACATTAAACATTTATTTGCTGGGTATTTCCATTTCTATTTATAAATTACTAAATTATAATAAGATTACAAAATTTTTATTAATTTTTTAATTCCAGAAATTTTAGAATTTTTTTCTTTTTTTAATGTTACTGTGGCTTAATTTTATGTTACTGTGGCTTAATTTTTAAAATGTTTCTGGTATATAATAGTGAGTTCATTTTGACATAATCATAGATGCTTACAATAAAATTTATTCCACCTCAGTGCCCAGTGCTTCCTTCTTTATCTTGAGAAAATGATCATTTCTGTGTTTGGGATTAGAAAGCTATATATTCTTCAGTGAACTACAGTGACATGTACAGATCACTGCTTTTCAGATACTATGAATTTCAATATAAAATCAGTCTCTAGCAGTTTATCATTTCCCAGCAGCAGCTACAGTTTAGTTTTGCTGTTGCAGGATTTGCACCATAGTAGATTCCAATTAAAAGTTATACTGATAACTTCTTTTACTTAAAACAAGGAAACTATGCAAAGGATGTATGTTGAATTTAAGTGATTTTCTATATACTCTTCATCTCATGTCTTCTGGAATCACATTCCACACGGAGATCCCCTGTCTACTGTCAAATCATCTGCAAACATATACCGCACTCCAACAAGTTCAGTATTTTATAATAAAGATGCCAAGAAGACTGGATGTGCAACCTCAACAGATATTTTGATTGAAATACCAAAATGTGTTCTGATAGAGAAATAAGGGGAATCTAAGAGCTAAAGTGGAAGAATAAATATGGAGAAGAGTAAGAACCATGGCCTGAGAAATTATCTTCCATCCTCTGGATGCAAGAAGAGCAGGCCTCAAGAAAAAATGTTTTCCATTACCCAGACAATGCTGTTGCCTTATTGGAAGAACTTGTCATGCAGTATTCGGTCTCCTTCCAAGCATCTTTCTATGCCACTTATTGTTTCCACACAGTCTACCAGGAAAAGTCTCAGGAAAGTTGAAACAGGAAGGTACAATCTTGTTCTAGGAGGAAGTGACACATATGAGAACAGTATAGGAATTAGCCAAGATGTCCTGGCATGTACCAGAAGAGAGATTCACCGTGGGAGTGGTTCTTGAAGGTGTTAACAGAGATTGAATGAATGTAAGTCTAAACATTGAAGGATTTTTGACATTGAGTTATTCACTCACGACTGAGATTGGATGTTGTGTTGATCAAGAAAAAGTGTTCCCAGAAGCTTGGTCCTTGATCCCAATGCCAATCCAATAACGGAGACAGTTTTGAGAAAAAGGAAAAAGAAGGTTTATTGCTTTGCTAGCAAAGGAGAAACACAGGGAACTAATGTTCTACTATTTCACAGGCTGGCATTCTGCCTATGGTGGGGGGAAAGTGATTTGAAGGCTATATTTTACATGTTCTCTGTTGGAGTTGTAACTCACTTGTTAATAGGGGAGATAGTCATTTCTGAGATCTTCTGGTACCATTCCCAAGTCTGAATTACTTCATTCTTATGATGGGTGTGTGCTCTAGGACAGATAACTCCACTCCGCCTATGATAGGACAGGAAGGTAACCTCTTTCCACAGGGATTAGGGAGGGGTAGGGAGAGAGAAAGAGAAAGAAACATGTCTTTTTAAAAATGAGTAGCAATGACAGAGAAGCAAGGGTTATATATATACTGGCAAATGGACAAGGCATACACCAGTGTGAGATCATTCTAGGGCAGTAATAAACACTGCTACAATGCATTCCTTTCTTTGTGAACAATTAGCCCAAAATCAATTAGTATTTCAGCTAACCTCTGAAAACCATGAAGATGATAACTCATAATCATACCAAAAAAAAAAAAAGATAAAGTTTGTCTATAAAGTAGGTTAGGAAGATTTGCAGGTCTATGAGATCAGGCTGAACTTAATTCAGGACATCCTTTTTTCACTTTCAAGAACCTCACAATTAGGTTGGACCTACCTAATACTATGGGAAAATCTCATTTTCAGGTTAATTCATAGCTACCAGAAATTAGATCAGGAACACACACCCACCATTGGGACTATTATTTTGCTTACCCAAGTAACCCCACTCAGTGAAGTGAAGATGTTGGGCTTCCCTGACATAGTGCTGGGGAAGAGACTCTAAGGGGCACAGTTGTGAGAATGTGAGTTTCTAAGACCAGAAACCCCACAAGTTGACTCTTTTCCTGGAGGGTCTTCCTTACCCTCCTTTATAGAATGAAATGTAATGATTAAAGAATTATAGGCTTTTGAGAAGATTGGTGGGAATGAAAAATGATGATACTCACCTGTAACTTTGATCTGTGGTATCAATGAGAATCATGGCATTTTAGGAGAGCAGGTACAGAAGGGTTGAACCTGTTACAGTGATATGCTGGAGTTCAGGACCCCCAAAAGACCACCACAGACCAAGATCGATGTAAGCAACAAAGAGGTGTTTATTGCGAGCTATCTCAGTCCTCTGTGCACACAACAACTAGTGACACTGAGAGGCCCCAAGCCCAGGGTTTGCAGCAGTTTTATACACTCTTTGGGGAAGGCAGGGACTTTACAGACATCACAGCATCTCTAAGCAAATTATCACACACCGTGGGAAAATCATAAAACAACTCTAAAAGATGATTTGCACATTCACTGGAGGGAACAAGTTGAGTAAGGGTGATTGGTTAGTACAAGAGGGGAATTCATTTGAACTGATTGGTTTAAGGCATGGGAGGATTACGTGCTGAACTACATGGTTTTCCAACATGTTATCAACCACCATAAACTATTGAGATGGTTATCTGCCATCCCAGATATTTTTCTGTCTCATGCTGATTGGTGGTTGCTAAGGGGTTGCTATGGGTCTTCACCTAGCCTGACTGAGTTAGGGACACCTGGCACCACAGATATTTCCTGTTATTTGCAGACAAACAACTCAGCAGGGTGGGTATGTGCCTAGGAGTGCTCTGTGGGTTTTTCCAAGGACAAGGGCCATGTCCCCTTCTTTGGACAGGGTTTGCTCTGAGGTAGAGGCTGGTTTCTCAAAAATGGAGTCATATCAGTTTCTCAAGAGGTTAGGTGGGTATGATCACAGCAATGACAGAAAGACGGAAATGAAATCAAGTGCCTTTTCCTACAGGGCTCTAAGATAATAACAAATAGATCATAGTATTTGTGGGGTAAGGCAAGAACGATTAGCAAATATTGTTTCCTGCCACAATGATTTAAGAATTAAATAAATTTTCAGACCTAGAGCCCAATAATTGAATGGAAGGTTGAGTCAACTTGAGTAAGATCTACTGAAAGCATGTGAACATTCTTTTTATCCTTTTTTTTCAAGACCTGAGGCTTAAAGGATTATAGGTTTCTTGAAAAGCCAGAGGCCATAGGTTTATCCATGTTTCTCTGGACTTTAAAATGGCCAGAGTTTACAGAGGGGATTTTAGTTTTATAGGGTACAGTGAAGGTGATTTAATCATTGGAAACTCTGGACCTGCCATTCAGACAGTCAGGGGCTGATCATGAAAGTTACCATTTGAACTCAGGAAGGCAGTACTGAAAAG